GTAGTAATACTTTTCCCACTCTAGGAGTTTGTAGTACGGACAAGTTAGTGCATGTGGAACAAGAACAAACTAGTAGCAAGGCAAACAGCTGTCTGGGGAAGTAGAGCAATGCAGGGAGTTTTCTTGCAGGTGCTAGTTCCAGTACCATGGTATTCTCATCTTTTTGCTGAACACGCCTCAGAGAGTAAAAATCCTGAAGAAGAGTATGTCAAAGACCCTACAGGGACACAGCTGTCACCAAAGTTTTAGCACTGGGGCACTATTCTCTGCACTCCCCCTCAAAGACAAAATCCATAACCTATTTTGGCAAGTAATACAAGTGGGCAATGAGCTAAGTTCCTTTAATTCTTATCCCTTTCTGACAGTGGGCAAATCACTTTTCTTCTGGGCCACCAGCCCCATCAGTAAAATGAAAGTAAATAATTCACAGGAGAAGTTTTGTAAAGTTTGCCTGGAAAAATACTTTATGAATCCCAAATGGACTTTGGGAACAAAATGCATTTCCTTTTCGTAGGGACACGGTGACATCTTACAATGTAAATGGTTCAGAGACAGAAGCTTCTACTTCACCACAGACTAGAAATGGACTGGCATAAAAAATGAAGGCAGGCAGGCATCCCGCCAGGTATTAACTGTCCTGTTGACATTGATTGATCTAGTCTACCCTCCATTACCTCTCTTGGTAGCCTTCTCTCCCCCTCTCTATCTTGTTCCTTTCAACAAGGTGGGTTATTACCTACAGAAGCTCATACCACTATGAACTAGTTGATTTCTGCCCTAGCTTTTGCCATCTCAGAAAAACTGTCACATGTCTGCAACAGCATTGCTGAAAAAACAAGTTTGGGGCTTTTTTTTTTAAACTTCTCTTCAATCTAATGACAAATGCAACTATCACATGGGATCACTTAGGAGTTAATTAGGGTAATTTTCTCCAGGAGCACCTAGAACTCTTTGTACATAGACTCATTGCCCCACAGAATGTGCTGCGTTCAAATCATGTGCATGCATGTCTGCACTAGCATAAGATTTGTCTCTCCCTTGATCTCAACACTTCTCCTGACAGTGCCAGATTCTTGAGGAGAACAAGATAGTGCAATCTTGCAAATAGGTGGGACCGGAAGTTTACAGCATACGAGACAAAGCAATGCTTCAAGAGAACATCCTGAAAAGTCAGTGGACAATTGTTACGACTATGCACACCAAAATGCTATTTTTTTAGGACATATTGCATCCTCCCATCATTAATAATACTTTGGAAATGAGCAGATACAGTAGAGTAATTACTCAATGTGACTGAAAAACGAAGCTGCAGCCTAGAAAGACAAGAGAACATTATTTCATAGAGCTGCTTTTCAATTTTCATAAATCATTTCTCTTGCTCTCACGATGAGCTAGAATAAATCCATTCTTTAATAGATTTTGGCTATTCTATTCATTAGTTTTTGGATCTGTATTGTTAAATAGATCTCAAAAAAAAAAAAAACACATGACCCCTCAAAGTCCAACTATTTTTGTTTTAAATATACTTTTAGTATGAAGCATCATAAACAATGTGATACGCAAAACATCTTGATCTGCTGATATTAAAGGGAATTTTTTAAACTGGAAAGGCAGCTACAAATAAAGAAATTACTACTATACATTTGGCAACATAAACTCATTTCCTTACCTAGCAGAGATCTACTCATTACCCTGCTGAAAACGTGTAACAACCCAACACCTCCTGAGCAGATTTGTAAACACATTAGGAAACTAGTTTACAAAAAGAGATGCATCGTGCTATCCACTTTTGGAAGAGTAGGGGGCAGAAGCAAAGTTAGTTTCTGATGCGTGGGGGGCTTTTAAACACTTAACAAGCTGTACTCCAAGCCCTGGGGCAGTGTGGGTGCTAAGGCCCACAGTTGACAGCCCGGAGACCACAACTTCAAGGCCCGAGCAGAAGTTCTCATCGTGCAACCTGCCAGATTCCAGTGAATCTGAGAGTTCTGCTAAATACCTTGTCACAAAGACAAAAAGGAAGAAAGGTTCCAAACCTCAAACATGGGAAGACCTACACATGAGTAATCTCACTTTGTTAAATGGAACTGCCCATATGCAAAATAAAACACGTTTTAGCCAGTGTTGTGCAATGGACACCACTACAGGATGGTTATTCAAGGTCCTGAACACATTGACTGAACTTCCAAAGCTTGACTAAGTCACTTAGGAACTCAATAGTGGGACCAGTGCTCTTCAACCGTACCTTTTAAAATCCCACTCTCTACCCCAGTGGTTTTCAACTGGGGTGCTGCAGCACCCTGGGTTGCCTCGAGCTCTTTTCAAGGGTGATGCAGGTTGCCACACATTAACACTCTCAGGTGTACAAACATGATTCACAAGATAAACCCAGAGATTTCACAAAGGGATCCACTGCATTAAACCCCTGACTTGCTATGGTCTGAGTTCTTTGCAACAGAAGAACTACTCTACTTATTATTTTTTCTGTAGTCAAGATAAATGAGGGAAAAGCTAGAGCTGGAAAAGTGAGGTCCCAACCAACCAGCCTTACAAAGTATATGAATCACAAATCTGTTACCAAATTACTATAAATCCTACAAATCAAATGTTATGCATGCCACAAAGCAAAAGACAATAGGCTCAACTGACTAAGCAACGTACCCATATCTAACTTAATTTTCCTGAACACAGTCAATACTCTCTTTTCAAAACAACGTATATGCCAGGTCAACTTCAACAGTGTGTTCAGTGTGTTACTGCTGTAAATACAGAATATATCCCCCCCACCACTTTTTTGTAAAAAAAATAAATAAATAAAAAAAGGTTAGTATCCAGCCTTTGTAATCGCTCCCCCGAAAGGTCCCAATTTTTCTACTCCTTTTTTCAACGCGAACACTAGAACTATGTTTTACAATATGCTTCTACTGCTGCCACGCACCCAGGTAAGACGTCTCCTATTCCATGTTCCTATTTATACAGACACGCGGATCGTGTTACCAGCCGCACCGGACCGAGAGCCTGCGCCCGGCGTGTGACCCGGCAGGAAGCCGACGTTCCCCGCAAACATCGTTACTGTGAGATACCCACAGGCGAGGGATGTTCCTCATGCTGTAGCTAAATATTACTTGGCTATTTTTTTTTTTAAATCGCATCCAACTTTGCCATACTGCATCTCAAAGCGCCCCTTAAAGAAATCATAAAACTCATCACGGTCACAGCCCCGATCTGGAAAAAGAATGCAATAGAACTCTTTTCCAGCAAGGTCCAATTCAATTTCTCTTCAAATATCAACTTTGAATTTTCCAGTTCAATTTCCCTTTAGATAAACACAAGATTTTAAATTCCGTAAACGCTGCTGTTCCTCCCAGTGCCCCCGGGGGTACGGTTGGGGCCTGGATCGGAGCCCGGGTCGCCTCAGACCACCTACCTCAAGCGAGGGCCTCGGCGCCACCCGGCCCGGCCCGGCCCCCAGGCGCAGCAGGAAGACTGGCCCCGTGTCTCCTGGCTTAGGCCGCCCACACCCGCCCGAGGCCAGGTAGCGCCGCAGGCTGGCCGCGCCGGGGGGCGGCAGTGTCGGGGCCGCGCTCCGCTCCGCTCCGCTCGGGGCAGGGC